TCAATAAGTCATTTTTTTTTCGTGCCTTAGGGCCAAACTTAATGTTATCAGGCTAGCTTGTCTAGCTAGCCTTATTTCTGCATCCTTCTGACTGCATCTGCATCCTTCTCAATCTCTTATCTTTTCAGTGATTTTCGCCCTTTTTGGCTAAGTCCTGTGTTCACTAAGTTAATTCTCCCCCTTATTTTTGTTCTCTGACACCAGTGACAATCCCTGATATAACTGCTAGAGCACTCAAAATCCTGTGTTCACTAAGTTAATTCTCCTCCTTATTTTTGTTCTCTGACACCAGTGACAATCCCTGATATAACTGCCAGAGCACTCAAAACTCCTTCCATAGACAGTTGGCATGGAAGGGGGAAGCACTCGGGAACTAATCTAAGTGGTACCACATGTCAATAAGAGGGACAGGCGGTGGCAGTCTCTTTCAAAGGTTGCAACAAGTAAGCTGATGGTTGTAACACAATTTGATAGGATTATTTGTTATTTAAAGTAATGGCTGGTGTGCTTTTTCCAAAAATTATTTGAGACGTCCCGAATGTTGTTCTATACATTATGGCCCGTTGCTTTCTTCATAGCGAATTTAATTACGAATCTGACATTTTCTTCAGTCTTTAAAGTGCAGTGATTTAATCTAGGCATCATCATCTGGATTACCACAAAGCAGGCCATTTCACGCAGCTAGTATGGAAGTCGACAACTCACCTCGGTATCGGCGTTACAATGCGCTCCTTCGATGGACACCGCACAAACAGCTGTCATCCAAATTTTCCATCCACGATGATTTATGTGGTAGTGAAATATGATCCACCCGGGAACATCCTTTCGTTGGAGCACTACAGTGCAAACGTCTTGCCACCAATGCAGTAATTTTCATTCGTGTGTGCTGAAATTAATAGAATTTGGAGGGGCCGGATATCTAGTTTTCCAGGAAAGAGTGCACTGCAAAAGTTAGAAAACAAATAGGACATTTAATTTTGTTCGGAATCAACCATTTACGGCTGCAAATTTTATGCCATACTAACCGCAGTTAGAACCTAACTATACACGTCAAAAGTAACTGGAATAACTGAATGTGTGTTTCACCAAACTATGACTTTCTTGTGTTTCAACTGTGCAATCTCTGACTGACCGAACTGTGCCTCAGCTACGCATATCAAACTGAGTACTGACGAGACTAAGTGAGGGCAATTTCCTGTCAGCGCAACGGTGCATTTCCCATCTTTATTTGCAATTCGAAATTTTTGTTGTGATGCAATTAATTTTGATCTCATTAGTTACTATGAGTGAATAAATTCTTCGTTAGTCAAACGATGGCAGCAAACGGCTTAGCTCGAGCAGTGAAGCATACTCATATGAAAGAGAAAGCGAGCACGAGTGAAATATGTGCGACAAATGATAGTGCTTGAAATGACGCCATTTATCGCATAAGTCTGCCTCACGCAAGTGTCCGAATTTATATGTCATCTCACTTTACTCGTAATTTACTTCGGGTAGACATATTCTGTTGCACACCTATTTCTTACAGTGGAAGAAGTTGACAATTACGTCTACATTTCGATGTCTTCAAAGCATCAGACCCAAAGGATCATGCCCCCTTCTTCTATGAGATTGTGCTGAAAGCACTGAAATGCGGATGCAAAACGTGATTACTTACGAAAGCTGAAGAGCTGGCACTGGTTGTGACGAAGAGAGTAATGAAGCGAAGGATGCTTGGCGTGTCTCTCCGCAAACAGTCGGAGCTCCGTCAAATAAGTGGCGTGTAGAACGTCACTGCGATCGAGCGAGAAAGTAAAATCCAACGAACGGGGCATGTTGCTCGCCTTGCCAACAACCGGTATACGTCGTGCCTTAGTAAATGGTACTCAAGTGGAAGTAAACGACAACTTTGGCAGCCCTCGAAAAGGTGGCATACGTGCATGTAGACACTTCGCGCTGGGTGGCGCTGTATAGCGCCTGATGGTTGGATCGCGTGGTTGAGGGGGATTGGACGTGGTTGAAGGGTGCTGCTTGATAGGTGCCCAGAAACAGCTCAGAGAGTTCGATTACAGCCAGGATAGTGAATGGGAATGAAGATGCTAGTTAGGAGTTGAGGACGAAAAATGGCGAC